AATCCTTTGTAGAATGTTTTCATTTTATAAAAATAGTATTTCTTAAAATGTTTTTAAACTCAAATTCTATACTACTTGCTTGTCAATTACAAGAAGCAAGAAACGTATGTGTATTAAAGTACTCAGCACATGGTAGGACTCTTACCAAAAGTGCTTCCTTTCCTTAAAGAAAAACTAGTCTGGAATGGGATTATAACTCAGTGGTAGAGCATTTGTCTAAAAATGCAAGGCCCTGAGTTCAATCACTAGTATTGCAAGTAAGTAAATTTAAAAAATTCTAAATATTATATATAATTATCTTAACAATATTGTGAATGGCACTGATACCAAGATAACCTTCCTGTTGAGACTTAGTGTGTTTCAACAATGATAAAATTATAAATCTCTGAAAAAAATGAATGTCATGTATGAGATGCTGGCATATTTCTAACCAGATTAATAATTCTAATTATTAATTAGTAACCAGATTGTAACTCATATTGCCAGAAAGACACAAAAGTATCACTTCTACATTTTAGAACAATTCTACCATCAACTAAGAGGGGAGATGAAACAGTTTGACTTAGCCTGACTTTTAGTTATAGAAGTAGTGCTTCCCTGTAGTACATAGTTCTTTGTGTCCATACAGGAGCAAAAATTACTATGGAAACACATCTCATCATCTTGAAGGCTTAATTGGGAGCCAGTCTCTTATTAAAGCCAGTGTCTGTGTGTGTGTGTGTGTGTGTGTGTGTGTGTGTGTGTCTGTTTGCGCACGTACACAATTGTACACATGCATGTGCATGTATGTTAAGGAAATCGAACTAAGCATTTGATGACATATGGTAGCTTTCCTGTGTGAACTTTTATATTATAATAACATGTCTGAGTAACTGGAGTAATTTCACCATTGAGAGATCACGTGCTGGAGTATGACACCCCAATGCTAATTGCACATTGTGTTGACATTTCAAGCATATTTTCTACAACAACATTTGTATTCATAAACAGGTAGTAAAGCACAGGGGGATAATTTGAGTCATGATTCATGTTAACAAATGGATTGCTTTCAAGCTAATTCTCAAACCCAGACTCTTCTGCAGGCCCATTCGTATTCAGAAGCTGTAGTACATACAGCTGTTAGTATAGGGACTGACTAGTGCAGGGCCAAGGGCTGCTGCTATTTGAAAAAAAAAAAAAAACAGTATCATGATTATCCCACTACTTTTTGTAAGGTAAGTCTTCTCAGTAATTTAGGCGTTATTAGTCAAGCTATAATTGATGTGTTTATAATGCAATAGCTTATAAGCTAGTAACTGGGTAAGGGGAGGGGTGGAAGTAATTCAATAAACATTTTTAGTAAGCTCTTAAATAACCCAGTTAATACATAATGTGTTGTATATACTACTTAATGTATTGTATATACCATATCACTATTTATGATAGAGAAAACTTACCAAAATGGCAATGATCTCAAAGTGTGCAGATTTAATAACCAGTGTTTGTTTTTGTCTGGTATTTGTAGCCATGCGTCATGCTTTGCATGCCTATACCATTAATGTTTTCTTAGGAACAAGACATCAATTTGGTTCCTAAAACTCTCAGCCAAAAAACAGAACTTGATCCAATAAAGTATTTTATCTAGGTTTTATTGTTGCTCAGGCAAAATTACACAAACAAAATTCCAAGGAAATCAATTTTTAAAATGCATAAATTCTTTTGTCTTGACTTTGTCCATGCAAAGCTTCAAAGAGAATTTAAAGAAGGAAAAAGAAAAAGGAAAACAAAAAGAAAGCAGCATAAAGAAAAAAGTTTTCTCCATGAATATATTTCTAAATTTAAATTTATTTACAAGACATTAGTCCAAAATATTTATATATCTAATAATTAATATTTATATATCACTTGAAACTTACATTTCTTAAAATTAAAAGAAAACCAAATACTTAAAAATCACCAGATAAGAGATTAATTGTAAAGTTACACTTTTTTGTTATTAACTATTATATCCAAGTAAACTAAGATTCAAAATGTAAATTAACATTACAGAACAGAAAAGGAAAGCATCTTTTTCACTCTTGAGGTATTTCCTATTGTTTTCAAAAGAATATACATTTAAGAATTAATCAGTGCTTTACAGAGAGTTAAAATAATGAAAGGTAAGACCCTACTAGGTTTTTGGTACTCTTCAAAAAGTATTCTGTATTTGTTTAGAATGAGTTTGAAATGTTAAAGAAGAAAACATTGACGTTAATTTTTTAAAAATCTGAAATTTCAAATTGGCAGAATTCCATATTAATCCACTTTCCAACATAAAAAAAGAAAATTGAAACAAAATCTTCTTTTGGTCTAGATGTATCTACTTGTGCAAAAAGTATTAGGTGAAAATAAACAATACTTGAGCAGTTTTTGGTTTTTATTTTAAGGAAAAAACTAACGGTAACTTCTGTGTACTTTGGTCTAATTAGTCCTATGATAATTTTTATATATTTTTGCAGCTTATCAGGGATTTTTAACTATATCCCAGACAGAGACTATCATTGCTATTTCCCTATTTGATCCTATTACAATTTTGTACATTTAAGGTAAATAAAATGTTAGAAATAAAAGTTGTTCCAAATAAATTCAGTCCAAATCCAAATTACAACAGGACCTTCAACAAATTACAGAAATACATGATCACTCATCCACAAGACTGGATTATTCATTGGAAATCTAATCTGCAGCCTCAAACTATGTTTGTAGGTGATGATTTAAAGTAAAAAAGTTGTTTTTCTTAAATAATACAGGAAAGAATTCCAGGCTTACAGACTTAGAATCATTCCAGTCTTAAGATTTATCAAATGAGCAGGAGATTGTTTATGCATAACAAAATAAAAATAGGCTTTCATTGCAAGTAAACCAAATTCCCTTCAAAAAAAACCTCTAGTCAAATTAAGTAGCTATCAAATCAAGCTCTTTCTCTCCTAGAAGACAGAGACTTGTTCTATCATTTATGCTGAAATGTTTTAACCCTATAAGGAATGTTTTATATCTCCAAAACACTTCTATGGCCTTTGGAGACTCCCATGGGTCACTACTTTGTCTTCTCTTAGTTGTTCATTAGGGAATGGCACTACAACCACTGCAGGCCACAGCCTACCCGTAGTATTTGTAAATAATAAATACATGGCTTTTATTCACAATTTCATCATATCAAACTAGATCAGTATAAATAGGCAAATGTGGGCAAAAGAATGCTATTGCTTAAAATAAGGTCAGACTTAAGTAGACAGAAATGAAATTTGTTCATCAAAGAGCTGGATAGTTGCATACATTTACATTTACATCTTTTCTTAGCTGTATGTATGTGAGGAGAATTTCTCCCACTTTTGAATAGTCTTTTTCTTAACTAAAAAAAAATAATTCTTGTACTATTAAAGGCAGAAGTTTCAATTGTGAGTTAAGGCTGAAGCAAATGAATGGCCAACAAACTAAGTTGTGTTTGTTAGGAAGGAGCACTAATTTGTGATCCTCCATGATCACATTGTGAATTTAAGAGAAAAAGAACTAAAAATACTTTTAAAAATGCCTTACTTGTTGACCATTCTTACCGTGATTTTCTAATGTCCCATTTTAGGTTTTTTATCCTAAGAAACCTATAAAATATTTAAGAAGGTACAAAATGGCCCCCTAAAACTGACGCTGATTTCATCCATCCTGACAGATTACTGTCTTTCACAAAGACAACTACAGACTTGGTGTTGGTTGCACCAGTGAAGAAAGGTCTCCATTGGAACGTGGATGTTAAACAGTCATAATCAAATCATTAACAATTAAGTTGGGAAAGAAATGTATTCTTTTCTTCAGAATACATCCAAAAGGTGGTTTAAAAAGCAAACCATACATAGCTTACAACTTGGAGTTAAGAAGTATCCAGCCTGTGACCTAATCCAGAATAAATTCGCCTCCTCAGTCCCCTTTCTGCTTTGGGATCACATTTTGATTTACTGAAAAGAACTTTTAGAATATTCAACAGGGGCAAATATGGATGAAAATGGCAAATGATTATCATCTAGGAGAAAAACCACTGGGAAAAGAAGTTTAAGTAAATACTGTACTTTCTGAGTTCAATCAATGACAAGTGCTATCTGTATTTTTCTAAAAACCTGAGAACTCACTCATTGGTTTTGGAACTGCAAGCAAGAAAAGTAAGTAAACTGCTATGAAGCTAAAGGAAAGAAGTGTGAAACAGGAAGAAAACCTCATACTATATTTTGACATAAAAATAAAAAAAAATAAAATAAGCCAACTCAAGGCTGTATCAATGGCCAGTAACATGAGGTCACCGTAACCTGCTGTTCCCCAAGCATGTAGATTACTTTCTACATTCAAATGGGAAACTATGGTTATTAAGCTTTGCAATGGAACTTGCATTAAGAAACTTAAATCTATGAAAGATATATTTTACAAATAAAAACAAGTGGTATGAGACACAAAAGTCATATAGAAAGATTCTGTCATTGCCCTCGTTTTCCGTTGCTTGGTTTAACTTGCTATGATAAATAAAAATAAAAGCTATTTTTACACATTGTTTTTAACCATTTCGATTGTCTTCCATTTGAGATAAACATATAATCTTAATAGATGCTCACTGAAAACATACATTATTATGAGTAGCTAAATTTCCACAAGAAAATTTTGGAGTATCAGTTTGGGATATCATCTAGTACTTTACAGTGTGATATAATAATGATAAACCCATTTTATACTTAATATTATCACCAAGCAACACCAAGCTTCTAAATCGTCTAAATCTTTTGTGTTTCATTTTAAATGGAGACTATAAGTAAAAGAACTAATAAGATATTATACTACCAATTGTTTTTCAAGTCAAAAGTAATGTTACCTAGAAAATACATTAATGCTGTAACTGGATCTTAAAGATCAATTCTATTTCATATACTCTGCAGCAAAAATAACATTTCTAGTAGGAAGGGATTAATTATAAACCTAGCAAATTCTAGACATTCACATATTTATGTAAACAATTTTCAACATGGTTTATTACATTTCCAGAAAGGTTAGGCTTTATATACTAAGTTTCCTGCTAATTCTTCTTTCATATATTATAATAAATATATGTTATTGAAGTGCATGTATGTTTGCATTTTTACACCCATATATGTCATATATACATAAAACAGCACTTAATGGTAACTTTCTTTGCATGTTCAACTTAAGAAAATAAATGAATTGCTATTATGCCTATCTCATGGCAATCTTCCTTTCAGTTTAAAAAATGGCCATATCGAGGTGTAAACAACGCATTGGAGCGAGTCATTCCAGATGAACTGTATCTCATGTGGCAGCTTGGTGTTCTCATGAAGTATTGGGTACTTCCTGGTAGCAAATACCTAAACACAAAGTGCAATAGATCGTTACAGGCAAGTCACTGTTAGCTTCTCTAACCAAAGGGTTATATAATTAGTAATAATATGTTTTGCATAAAAATATTGCTATAACCAAGAATGCAATTTCATATAAAAGTTTCCTAACAAAAGTTGGGGAATGTCACAGAATTTCACTCAAAGAGTGATATTAGCATCCCAAAACCTCCATAGACTCATCATATTAAAAATTCTGTAAAACTATATGGGTTGATTTAGAATATATTATCAGTTCCTGTAAGTAATAGTTCCTTAAAACATGGGAAATGAGAATTTAATAAGAATTTGATAAGCCACAGTAAAAATAATTTTTTTAAGGATAACAATGACTGATTATGAGCATGAGTCACTGATGTATTGTTACTATTGTTAATCTCAAAGAAAAAGCTAAGGATTAACATTGATAACTACAGTATACATTTTATATTCTTAGACCATGTAGTGCTTATGAGTTCAAGTCACATGTAATATCACATGTGATATTCCCAGGTTTTAGAAAGACAGGATATACCATATAACATATCTATCAAGGCATCTCCAGATACATAAACTCCTCATAAACTATTATTATTTATTCAATAAAATACATGAATACTAACAGAAAAACAGACAAATAATAACTATAAGAAATTCATTCAATTTCAGTTCAGGTCAAATTTATCAACAAATGAGACCTTTTTAATTGAAAGCTTTAGAAATTGGGAATTTCAAGGAATAAATTGCAGACACTTCTAATCTCTTTTTCTCTGTAAACCCTAAATCAGCATTATGCCAGTACAATTTCATGTCTAGAGAGAAGTGTCAAGAAAAACTACATGAACAAATGCAAACTGACAATATTATTCCAAGTAAACATCTTAGGACTGAGGAAAAGCACACGTCATGAAATCTGCAGAGATTTGAGGAATTTCTGAGAGTAGAAGTAGCAGTAGAAGGAGACTGACAATTAGCAATGGTCTTGGAAAAATAATGGTACAGGATCAAATGATTTACTTTGCTGTCTTCATTGCTGTCTGATACTAGGATCATCCAGAGATAGTAATATAAGCCTACAGATGTATGAAAAAAGTGAAGGTCAAGAACATTATTAGCTGCCTGCCCTATGAGGTAAGTAATATTGGTACCTAGGATACCTCTTTGTCTATGAAAAATTAGATTTGAGTTGCTTCATATAAGTTTTGCAGGAAGTAATGAATTCATTATAATCAAACTGCATACAATATTCAGAATAAAATAGATTTTTCCATAATATCCATAAACATTATTTCATCATGAATTATCTAATAATATCCACTAAATCTTTTACCTAATATCACAAACTATAAATAATTGCTCAAATCATTAAGTTAATAGAGCAGTAAAACAATATACAACAAACTAAATTAAATCAAAATTCCATAATGGGTGATGAATAATGAAACAACTGGTTTTTCACATCACATATTATATAAATTATTTTCTTAATATTACTTGGGTAATTTATGTGGATTAATTATTATGTCAAGAGCTAGTGGAGTTATGATGATTAATCTGGTACCTTTTGCTATGAAACAAGCCTTGTCTTGCTATTTAGGGCAAAGGTACAAAATAACTAAAGTCTTCAATAAAAAGCACTATTTTGTATTACTAGAATTTTTCTGTTTCTAAAATGCATCAAGGATGGCCCTGATACTTATCCATTGAACAGAGTAACTTCTATGAACTTTTGTCAAAACCACTGCTATACAAACATTACCGTTAACATCTTAGTAATATTTGTATCAACTTCTTTTGATTTTTTGACTTAAAATTTTTTTTATTGTAAAGATACAGAGGGGTAACAGTTACATGAGTAAGGCAATGAATACATTTCCTATCAAGCATTGTTCCCCCCTCCTTTGTCTTTCCCCTACTATTCCTTCCCTCCCCACCTCCCCAGCTTCAACTTCTTTTGTTTTGAAATAGTCACTAAGTATAGTCTAGGTTGGCCTTGAACTCATGATCATCATTTCCAGTCTCACAAAAACTTTCAAATTCAAGATTTGCCAAACACACACAAAAATAATAACACAGAGTTCAGAATCACAGCTAACTCATACAATTACATAAATAGTATTTCCTATGAGCTCAGCACTATTGCAATTGCTTTACAAATATTAACTCATTTAGTTCCAATAATAATTCTGTAAGTAGATTTCAATCTTAACTACGCTTTGCAGATGAATAAATTTCATGAGAAATATGGGGAACAGAGGCCTTTACAATGGTCACCCAACTAATAAATGTCCAGGCAAGGACTCAAGTCTATGCAGCAGCTCCAGCAGGATGTCTCCTTGTGCTACCCTGCATTGTCCAGACCACTGCACATAACTGTCCTTGTATACAAAACTCAATTTCAGAACTGAGGGGTGGGAGGGAAGGGATGATAGGAGAAAAACAAAGGAGGAGGCAACAATGTTGGATAAGAAATGTACTCATTACCTTGCTCATGTAACTGTAACCCCTCTGTACAGTATTTTCACAATAAAACACAATTTAAAAAACTTGGGTACAATTATTGTATAATTGTTTCCACAAATATGAATAGTAAAATACCTAGGAAGTGGAAAAATATTATACTTGCCACAAGCCTAAACTTTTAAATAAAAGCAGAAGTCAAAATATTTTTGAGATAAATGAAAAAGAAGAAAGTATGAACTTTAAAAAGCATATGGAATTATGCTGCAAAAAAAGAGACCCACTTTGCCTACCTAAAGCATATGCTGTGAAATATTTGAAAGGTTTATAGACATATACAATAAATTATGTGCCTTCACATCTCCATTCATCTCTCTTGGGAGATCCCACACTAGATGAATATCAAAGACTATTTTTGAATTTTTTTGCAAGTAGACTTAAATAATACAACTTAATTTTTCTTAAACAGTTTATCTCAATGAAGTACTACAGACTGTCTAGAGTTTATGTGAAGCACAAAAAAGTGAAAAAGTTTGAAGCCTTATTTTGTTTTTCCAACTACTGGAACAAAAATAACTCATAAATACTATGTTCCTGGAGCAATCCCTCAAATGATTCTCTTTCCACAGACCCATCACATTTGTGGGAATATACCTACTTGAAACTGATCAATGTGGAATCTGTGTGTCTTTCATGGGGCAGCTTATTGCTGACAACAGAAGATAGCTAGAACATGAATCATTTCAAGAGCAGTACGGAACTAATCTTGATCTTCCTAGAATTGGATCAGGACCATGACTTCGTTCTAATAAACTGATGTTCCAGAATTTAGAGAATAAGGGAAAATAAAGGTCAACAGACTAAGTATCCTATATTTCTTGAAAACTTTTATTGCATTAAAATTATAGAATATAAGCAGGGCCTGTTAGTGCACACCTGTAATCTCAGCCCTTGAATTCAGGAGGCTAAGGCAGAAGAATTCCAGGTTCCGGGAATACCTGGGTGATATAGCAAAAAAAAAAAAAAAACAAGGTGGGAGACATAGAAAAAAAAAAGGAGTGGGATTATATAAGGTAAAAGTTTATTATTTGAACCACTATTAAGTGTACAATTCAGAAAATAAAATTCATTCACAATGTTGTTATAACCATTACTAGGAATTCCAGAACTTTTCATCTCCTCAAGCAGAAACTCTATACTCATTAAATATTAAATTGGTTTATTTTATTTTTTTATTGTCCAAATACCATACAGAGGGGTTACAATTACATGAGCAAGGTAATGAGTACATTTCTTTTATTTTTTTATTGTGAAAATACCATACAGAGGGGTTACAATTACATGGGCAAGATAATGAGTACATTTCTTATCAAGCATTGTAGCCTCCTCCTTTGTTTCCCCTTCCCATCCCTTCCCATCCCACCTCCATCCCCTGTCTCCCTTCTTCGGCGCCCCCCCTTCTCTTCCCCTCCCCCCCCATCAAAGTTGTAAAGTTTGTTTTTCGACATAAATTCTATACAGGTGGACCCATTGCAATAATGAGATGTACTAGACATTACGTCGAAAAGCAAACTTTAAATATTAAATTGTATTTGCCCTTCCCTCCTTCTGGATTAGGATGTAGCTCAGAAGTGGGTGGATAAGGTTCTGGGTTCAACGCCAAGCACTAAAAAAAGATTTTTTTTCCATTTCCTTCCTTCCTAACCCAGCCTATTAGACTTTCCTGACTGATTTTGGGTTGGTCTCTTTTACCTATCTCTTATCAGTGAAATTATAATGCTTGTCCTTTGGTTTCGGCTAATTGACTTAGAATGTTTTCAAGGCCTATCTTTGTCCTACCATCTATCAGATTTTGTTTTGTTTTGTGGTTTACTAATATTTCCATTGTAGGTACCTAGCATATTTTGTTACTCTATTCACCTGCTGACAGACATCTGAGTTGTTCCCAGCTATTGGCTACTGTAAACATGTTTCTATGAACACTGACACTCACATCTTTTTCAGTCCTTGCTTTTTAGTTTCTGAGTACATACTTAGCAGTGCAATTCCTAGATCATATGATTAATTTATATATAGCTTTTGCAGAAACTGCCAAACTATTTTCCACACCTGCCACACCAGCTACCACATCCTCCAAATCCATACCCTTGCTGATTTGTAATACTTTGCATTCTTATGATAAAATCCATCTTAATCGATGTATATTGCACTGTGATTTGAATTTTGGTTGTGTGTGTGTGTGTGTGCGTGCACGCACGCGCACACATGTGCTCAGGCACGCGCCAATCCTGAGGCATGAACACAGGGCCTGGGTCAAGGCTAGCACTCAACCATTTTAGTCACAACTCCATTTATTACTTTTCTTTTCTTAAAAAATTTTGGTGGTTAATTAGAGATAATAGTCATATGAACTTTCCTGGCCTGGATGGACTTGAACCACAATCCTCAGATCTCAGCTTCTTGAGTAGGTAGGATTGAAGAGATGAGCCACTGGTGCCAAGCTGAACTTTGATTTCTGAGGGAAGGATTGTAAGCCCTGGTGAGTACTACCTCAAAATACTTGCATATTGGTAAAAGTGAAGTTATGGTTAAACCACTGGGCCCTCTATGCACCTCAGTTTTCTCGGCTGTGAAAAAAAAGCTAACTGATATGCTTGCCTCATACAGAGTTGAGCCAATAAAAGAATTTATAAAAATGAAGTATTATGTATCATATATACATATATATGTATCATATATGTATCATATATATATAACCAGCTGTCTTACTAGCTCAATAGCACCATCAAACTATCTTAGCTTAAGGCTATGGATGATACCTACTAGTTTCTTTTTTTCTTTTTTCCTTTACTTTTCCATTTACTTTCTCTTTTCCTTCAAGTTTTTATTTTCATTTTTGCATTACATTATTATAGGATTTAGTAGATAATAGGATATACCATTTATGATTTTATTTTAAGATTGTCTTACCTATTCTTAACACATTTTTTGTATTGTAAGTATAAGAACAAGTGTTGGCTTCTTTCATCACCAAAAACCAAACAAAAATAAAAATCTGCTGCAAATTACACTATGATTACATTGAATTAATAGAAATAGGGAGCTATGTAGAAAAGTCATATTAATAATAGTGATTCCAATGACAAGTAAGGTATTCCCTTTTTTTACCCTTTTCTTGAATATACCTCTTGCACATTTGTTGTTAGATATATTCTAAGTATTAAATATTCTTTTGAGTTATTGAAAAAATTATAGGTAAAATTTAACATTATAGCTGTTTATTGTTAATATAGTAAATTATATTTGAGTTTCTTATACTGACTCATCAGAGTTGTTAAATTTTCCTGATTTATCTATGGATTTATTTATATTTAATATGATATATTTAATATGATAATATTTAATATGATCAAAATCATATTAAGTAACTAGTAATAAATTTTAGTTCTTTTTTCAAACCTCATGCTATTCATTTTTCTTGTTGTTTTTGTGTTGTTTTCCTCATTGAAATAGCTAGAACCTCTAGTACAACTCTGAGCAGAAGTAGTGAATATAGTCAATATCATCATGTTCATTTGAAAGGGAAAACTTCCAACATTTCAATCTTAATGTATGTTTGTTATAACATTTCTATAGCTATTGTTTATTGAACTGGGATTTCTTTATTTTCTAGCTAGCTAAGCAGTTTATAAAATATGAATCTATACTGCAGTCCATTGAGTGGTTTGTCTTCTGAAATAATCTTCTATTCCATGAACACTGCTTAATCATATAGACTGTCTTTAAACTGATACAATAAGCAGAGGTTGGTCATGAGCCATTATCCTATCCTCTGGGTTCCCTTTGCTAATTCTTGGTTTAGGAATTTTCCTTCTATGTTTAGGGAGAGAGCTAACATTCATTTCCTTTAGGTTTTGTATCAGTGGAACATTAGTCTCATAAAACAATAGAAGGATGCTTCTCTTTTTCCGTTCTCTAGAAGGGTTTGATAGAATTGACATGTTAAACCATGGAAACCTGGTGGCTAAAATGTAGCTTAGAGTTCCCAGTTTCTCCAATGAATATGGAGCTGGTTGCAAGTACTCTTGAATTCTAGAACAGTGTGAGAGAGTGTGTGTGTGTGTGTGTTTCCAATTGACCATCTTGTTTACACAACAACTGTATTTGCTTAGTTATTATAAGCCTACATATAAGAGTGGCTTTGAACTTGTTGTGCTTATTATTTTTATGACATTAAAAGATGAAGACCACTCTCTTCCATGTAATTAATACCATAAACTCATTAAAATCTCTTAGGAATTATTTCTCACATCTTTGATATAAATTTGACATCAATTTTATTTTATTATTCTTATTTTTAAAATAAATTAGTCAAAATGATATTTACTTATGAATTATTTAGGTTTACCTCATAAATATAACTATTTTTATATTTATTTATAATAAATATTTATTTATAAATATAAATTCATATGTACACTTCACAAGTAAAAGTACTATATTAAGAGGTTGAGATTTTAATATAAAGTAAAAAATGTTATAGATTCATCTTTCTTATCCATGAGAGAAAAATTAACTTTTTAATGGAAGAATGTGAGTTAATTTACTTGAGCTTTGATAGCTAGATATCCATGAAAAAATAATGTTTATTTCCCTCTACTTCTTAGGTTTCCAAGTAGAACTAACTTCCAGGAGTGGAAACTTCCTGGCCTCTTTACCAGGACTGAGTTACCTGATTAGCATTAAAAAGAAAGAGTTCCACATGGCTCAGCCCTTGTGCAAGGGGATGCATGCTCACCTGCCCCACTGCCATCACTAAAGGACCAGACTTTATCTTCAGATATTGGTAATGGATAGCTTGGGTTGATCCAGCTCTGCCTTGGAATGGATAAGTTTAATTCTGGAATTCATTCAATATTAGAAAACTCATTAGGCTCATATCTATACCAAGTTCCCAAGGTAATGTTGATCAGAAACAATGCTACATTTTGTGATAATCTGCCTGACTCTTGTATTTCTCTCTCAGAGATTATGAACTTTGGCAGCAATGAAGAATGATGCCTCAAAATTCTTATACTCACAATACTGGAGTCATCTGAGCACTTAATCAGAAGTCCAGAACTTAGGATCAGGGATGACTGAGTTATTCCGGAGGAGAAAATCAAAGACCTAAACCACTGTAAACCTAACTCTTAGAATAACCAGGAGAAATCATCTGATTTGCCTTTCCACAAGCTACATGATTCACCAATAGAAACTGGGATACAAATTCTGGTATGGCAAGAATGATAATGCAGGGTCTGAATGCATTCTTTTCCTTGTAGCAGAATTTATAGTTTGCCTGATCATCCTTTAAAGAGAAGGTCTTCATTTATGTTATTATATTTAAACAATCTGTCTCTTTTAAATCACTTTGAACTATCACTAAAAGTAAATTTTACTTAAATAATTTGCAACAGCCAAAGCATAAAAGTTGTGCAACATCACTGATGTTTATGAAATTAAAATAGTTAACTTTATCTCTTCCATTGCTGTTATCAGTTATTATTTGAAGACGAGTTAAAAAGGTTAGAGATCCTGCAAGAGTACAAGACAGAATCCACAACAAACACTGCTTAAAAATACCTCAATGTTTTTGTGGAAAAAGATTCAGTACTGTTGTACTATTACAGGTCATTTTTGGAGAAAGTGAACTTTTAAGATGCACCCTGAAATCCTTTTAATAAACGGATGAATGTCTAGCTGTTTCAAAAAGAAAATCCAAGCTAGACTTAGTACATTAATCTCATTTATTCAACCCTTAACTGACTTTTTCCTTCTCTTATTTAGTTTTACAAAGTTATGGCTTATATTCTTTTATCTCAAATACTATTATAATTTACACATGATATAACTGAATTTAAATAGTCTTCTTTAATTCTAATAGAAATTACAACTCTTCTCAGAAATTCTGAAGTGTACTTATCATGTGATTTTTCAGCTTAAAAATATTTTTTTTCTTACTTTTGGAAAACTACCTATCTTGACTGAACAACATTCATAACACTCGATTCTGAAATGGAATGTGACAAAACTTCACCTCGCACAGATCTGCTTGGTGATGAAGGAAGGTAGCAGAGGCATACTGAACAATAAAATTAAATCAAAGGCATCTTCCACACTGAAGTAGGCTCAAGGATAAATGCTGAAATATCCCTATTGGGGAACAAAAGTTAAATTCGTTACTATAATTTAATATTCTTCCTTAATTTGTTTGTTTGCTTCTTTGTTATGGGTAGTGCTAATGCCTTGCACTTGCTAGGCTGGTATAATATCACTGAGCCTTGCACCTCCAGCCTTCTTTTCTTTTCTTTTTTTGCAGGGGAGGAGGGAGTTCTGGTTATTTTCAGGTAGGGTCATGCTTCCTGCTGAGGTACATGCCTACATTCCTGAACTGCAGTCCACTTATTTTAGGCTTCCTGTCATTGCTGGAATGACAGGTGCACCACTACATCCTGCTTAGTTTCCCTCTGTTGGGATGAACTATCACAGATTTTTCTTCCCAAGCTAGCCTGGAACCATAATCCTCCCCATTCTCAGCCCCTCAAGTAGCTAGAATTATTAGTGTGAACTAGCAGTGCCTGGCTCTCAGTGGGCTTTTAAAAGAAGAAGTATGTAAAGCAAATGAGTTCATCTCTATCACCTCAAGTTTGTAATGGCTAACTCCACTCAGTCACTTAAAAGGGAAATAGTGTGTTAATTAAAAGGATTTTTTGGGGGGGTCCAGTCGTGGGGCCTGAAGTCTGGGCCTGGGCGCTGGCCCTCAGCTCTTCAGCTCAAGACTAGCGCTCTACCACTTGAGCCACAGCACCACTTCCAGCTTTTTTCTTTTTGCTTATGAGGTGCTGAGGAATTGAACCCAGGGCCTCATGCATTCAAGGCAAGTGCTCTACCACTGAGACATACATGGTGGACATGTATGAGTTTTCATGTTTTAGATGTTTCTCTAGCTATGGAAGCAAAAAGAGATTCAGTTGCAAGCTGTGCTGTGGCATTCCTTTAAATAAAATTCCCAGGATCTAGAGAACAGAAATCAGTACCTGGAACTTCCCCAGTCAAGACCAAAGCCTGACAGTGATCCTCTTGTGTCCATCGTGTATTTGTAAACCACTAGCAGGCACTGTTTGCAAAGCTCCACCAGGCGCTGACAACATTGGAGCTGTAAAGGAGTCACCACCTCAGGGCTTTTACTGAATATGCTCTCCCAAGAGGATCTGTTGGCATAGAAACAGACATGACTTCATGTTTGCTGTTAAAAATGGTAACCAGTTATAGCACTCACTTAGCAACAAATCCAGAAAGAAAAGCAGAAATGGTCTGTAGTCTTGATGGACATTTGAAAGATACAGAAATACATAGACATTAGAAAATAACCTTTATAGTTGAAAATCTTAACAACTAATTTATATACTCTGTGTCTTTAAAGCTTTTGGTGCTACCAAACCATAGGTAGCTAAAAACATGGTGTGTCAACACCTTCTAATTACTAATTACTCTGTGTTGTGTTAAAGTGTTCTTAAATGTTCGGCAAAACTTCTTAAAATTTAATTTTTATTTTCTTGAAATCTTTATCTTAACATTAATAATAATCTCACAAAGGGATTAAAAAGTTGCTGCAATTTAGTTTATAATTGCTGTCCCATAAGAGAATTAAGATTTAAACACTTGATTATGGCCACTCCTTTTCAAAACATTCTCATACACAATTATGTCCTCGATAGGTATTCCTAGGACACAGGCTGTACTCGAGAGGTATATGTTACCTCAGGAAGGACTGACCTCCTGCAGTCCCAGCATTGTACTTCATCCTTCAGCATGATAAGTTTCTTCTGAAGCAGGCGTAACTCACATTCATGGCAAACCCCAATTGTTCATGCACACAGGTGTTTGAAGGTGCTTGTGTATGTGTTAATATTAAGAGTTCTTAAGATCATCACCATGGCTTAAATCGGAAAACACCTCAGCACTAAAGATGAAAGAAAGGGGGGTGGGCAGAGAGAAGACAAAAAGAGGTACAGAGATAGAAACAGAGACAGAGATGGAGAAAGAGACAAAGACAGAGAGATACAGACAGAAAGAAAGAGAGAGACAAGAGACAGAGATGGAGACAGAAGCAGAAAGGCATATGGAAACAGACAGAGACATATTCCTTAGTGTTAAGGAAAGTCTTTATAAGCCTTGAAGAAAAAGTGGTTAGAGACTTGGTAATAGTTCAAGTCTCACTTTACATAAACTAATTATGTAATTCTCAGAGGAGAAGAGAGTAATTTTTCACAAAAGAAAAAGAATTAAGAAAAAATGTTTCCTAAAAACCTGTACGTCCCAATGAGAAATTCAAAGACTCTATTTTTCAACCTTGTGTAAATATTTGGTATATTTGAAATTAAAGAAAAGGCTTTAAGCACTCAAATTTTTGCTTCATTGAGTTTTTGTTTATTTGGTTTTACTAGAGAGGCTACTCTTAATTTTTAAGGGCCAAGATGGTCTCACAAAGATAGCATGTCATTAGTGAATACATTTTCCTAAACAAGATAAAGAAACAAATTTTCCCTCCATGTTTTAACATGCTTGGGTCCAAATATGATACTGTTTTTTTCTTAACAAAAGAATAAACATTTTTATTCAATAAACAATTATATGCTAAATAAACAAATTAAATTCAAATTATTAGCATATGTAAAAAATACTTAACAAATGTATGTATGCATTTACACACATAGATATATAGAAAATGTCATTTTACTTAATTCACCCAAGAAAAATATTGGAGAAAATATATTAGGGAATGTGTTTATAATTAATATGTCATAATCCAGCATAAACATGTATATACATGTCACAGAAAGCACCATATTGTGTTGTTGCTTCCCAGTACTTTTCTCTCTACTAGAATTCTGATTATGCTTATGAAAGTTTACCCTCCATTTTTGAGGGTGATGGATATTTTTTTCTTCATACTTTGGTGCTATTTGATTACAAATCACTACTATTAAATCACCCCAATTCAAATAGGAGTTTAGAGATGAAAAATAATAAATAAAATGGGAGAAAGAATAGGAAAATGGAAGTAAGATAAGAAGTCTTCTTTAACACTAATTGGATGTAACTTTCGGGATAATATCTAAGTTAGGATCAGTTCTGGCTACTCATTCTCTCATTCTTTTTTTTTTTTTAATTTCCAAATAAATATGTAAACCAAGTTCCTACACTAATACTTATTTCTTTCTTGACTCAAGCTGAGTGGATCCACATTGTGCCCCCACCTCCTTACCCACCACCTGGCATTGCTGAGTACATGTGAAATGTCTCCATATAACTATAGCATCTCTACAATCAATGTGAACAACACAAAGTTCCCTCAAACATTGAGTGGAGATAGATATACGTAAAAATACCAATGCTTGTATCCAAGAACCCAGGTTCTTATCTGCCTCATTTCTGAATCTAAATTCCAAAGAGAGAGAAGCACTAAAATAAGTGAATTCCAAAGAAACATTAAATGATATTAAAGGTTCTTCTGGGCTCTCCCTAATCCACAGAGAACTAGGAAAGGAAATGGCTTAAATAACTTTTATTTAGAGATATAGTGGTAAGAGACTGAATACTGAATACTTCTTGACAACGCCCAGGAATTAATGAGATCAAAGACTTAAAAATTCTAAAATAATTCAATAATCCAGTAACTTTCACCATGTTACATTAAAAACATCGAATAAGGAAATTATGTAAGGCACGAAAGTGACTCATTTCTTTTGTCTCTTAAAAGTTTTAATAAAGGAGTGGCCTGAAAGCAATAATATATCTGCAATACATATTCTGCAATAATATATCAACTGAACGAATAACCATCAAAAGAAAGACGAATGAACTAACATACTAAACAAGGACATGCCCAGATGAGATGATTTCAGAACAGGAAAGTTCAGCTTTCTTTTTTCAAGTTCTGTAAAATTTGCTTTTACCATAAGATTCTATTTTTTAAAGCCTTTTTTAACAAGATAAATTCTTACAAGCAAATACTTTTGGCTGGAGTCCAAACTAGATTCTCCTCTTTGGGGATTGATTGTTTTGGGGAAGGTTTTGACTGCAGAAGGTTTTGTGTGTGTGTGTGTGTGTGTGTGTTGCTGTTTGTTTATTTGTTTGTTTGTTTCCTGGCATGTTACTCCCTGTCTCCTCCTCTCTGTTTAAGCTGTTAAACTCCCCCAGGTTTCAGCTTATCTGTCACTTCCCAAAGTCACTTTTGGTGAGCCTTCAGGCATGAGTTTTAGTTTACAGAACCCTAGACTTCCCTTATCCCAATGAAATATGGCAGCACAACTTTATTCATGAAGATCCCCAGAGCTAGTCCCACAGAGCGATCACGGTCAGAATGTGAGGCACCTCACACTCTGCAGGTCTGCATGTGACTGAAGGGTTCTTGGGCAAGGGCATCAGCCTTGAAGAAGAAAAGACAGGGATAAGGGTATTTTCTGTTTGATGCATCAGCAACGCCCCCTGGGCTAGTTCTAGAAAACCTACCACAAAGAACTACAGTCCTCTTTGATGTTTCTGGAGGTGAACAGGGACAGTTTTGTTCTTTTCTTGGGTATGCTGACAGAGACAGGAGTCAAGTTAGCCCAGAGTCACTTGGATTATATATTTTTAAATATTGTACACCTAAAAGAAAGCTACACCTTATATTTAGAACTATTCCTTGCCTTACAGGCCATTTGACCAAAAGTTAAAGGATTATATGTTATGAAGAAAAAAATCAAAGGAAATACAAAAAGTCCTACTTTGGATTGCAATCTCACAGAAGAAATCTGGACATTTTTCCCTTACAAATCAGACTTCCTCTATTTAATAGACTGCCTTTCAACTTCTTCCAGGGACTCATATCTTTGCTGCTCAAATGTAAAATTCAGATCTAGACCCATGCTATCAAGGTCTAGCTACCAGCCACACATGGCTATTTGAATATTTGAAATGCTCCTAATTTGAACTGAGATTTCTTGTATGTGTAGAAGGTACATCAAAGATTTAGAATGAAAAGAAGATACAATATATATGAATTTTCTGTTTATTGCATGTTAAAATGGACATATTTTCACTCTATTGTACTGAATGAATGCTTTAAAAAGAAAAAAAGATTGCCGGCATTGGTGGCTCACACCTGTAATCCTAGCTACTCAGGTGGCTGAGATCTGAGGATCGAGATTCAAAGCCAGCCCAGGCAGGTCCACGAGACTCTTATCTCCAATTAACCACCAGAAGACAAGAAGTGGCCCTGTGGCTCAATTGGTAAAGCACTTGCCTTTAGCTGAAGAGCTGAGGGACAGTGCCCAGGCCCAGAGTTCAAGCCCCACAGCCAACATAAAAGAAAAAAGAAAAAGAAAAACACACTAAAAAAGGGCTATATATTAACTACAAATGACTTAAAGGACAAAGTAGAACTATACGAGATCCAAACAGAGGATCAAGCACAAACAGTATTATATGATTTCATAGTGAGGCCTAGCAAATTCATTGGTACAGCTGCAAAATAAAGCTTGCGGCTAAACTCACCTCTTCAAACCATCAGTTGAAACAGAGAGTCAAGTCTCATACTAGACTCAAATGACTCCTGCTCCATCTACTAAGGCATAATGAACTAGAAGGAAGTGGGCTAGTGGTATGGGGCTAGCTTGCCAAACATTGGAAAATCTCCTTAGGGAGAGAATCCGTTGCTTGGGCTCTTGACTTAGACCACCTGGGTATAAATTCAGGCTCACCCAATTTCCATGGGAACTTAGGAAAGATCCAAACTTTATGCTTCAATTTCCTCATCTGTCAAGTAAGAATGATGACAGTTTACTCAAAAGTACTTTTGTGGAGATTATACAGATATTTACCATGCAAGACAATGACAGTCACTTAGCCTTTAATAAGCATGGCCTCTTATCACGATCATACTAGAATTAAAAGATAAACACTAGGAAAATCTATAAGAGTACTATGCTGGGAACAGAAGACAAGAATTCTCACTCGAGATAGAATATGTTCACAAAAACAACTTAATAAAGAAGCAAGGAAGAATACATTACAGGTAGAGTTAGGTTCTGATAGTTTACCTTTGATTCAAATCTACCAGTACTAATTTCAATAACAAACTGTCTCACTTCTTCTACTGTTAGGAAGTAGCATATATAGCATCAATCCAACAGACCAAACAAAGAAAAAGAATGTTGATTAGGAGTCCAACTAGGGAGAATTTTCATAGAGAGCCATCAATGAAAGGGCTGTACAATATAGTTCAAATATTTCCCTAAAGTCTCTGTAGAAATAAATTTACAGCCAACATTATTCTCATATTTCACCACAGCCCAGAGTGCTTTGTTTAGTGGTGAGGCATCGGAAAATGGTGTGGTATCTATGTCAGATGGCTAGAATATGTAAGTGGACACTTGGATCATTTCAGAACTGAATAGTCTGCTAAAGTTTTATGAAAGATCTATGGTGGAGTCTACATCTGTCTTCACTAAAGATTCAAAACATATAGGCAGAACACTTTTTAGAATATGTAGAAAACAATGAGCTATTGATCTAGAGTGGAGATCAATAGGAAAGAAAGAGAAAGAAGATCTGAGAAGAAAGAAGAATCAGAGTATGGGAAACCTTATTTTTGTAGATAAGAAATTTTCACTTTGATGGTAAATGAGGAAAATCACTGGATTTGGGAAAATAAACTTCACAATAAGATGAATAGAGGAAATGAAACACTGGAGGCAGAAATCCTCAGAAACCTTTTCAGTTTACTTGGTCCTTCTACCACAAAGGATCCTTATTTGTTTTTTTTTTTTTTTTGGTCCGGTCGTGGGGCCTGAATGCTGGGCCTGGGTGCTGTCCCTCAGCTCTTCAGCTCAAGGCTAGCGCTCTACCACTTGAGCCACAGCATCACTTCTGGCTTTTTTGTTATGTGGTGCTGAGGAATCGAACCCAGGGCCTCAGGCATGCAAGGCAAGCGCTCTACCACTGAGCCACCTTCCCAGCCCCACAAAGGATCCTTATATGAAATCCTATCACACTTCCTCTGTGCCTCTTTTATAATTACAATGCTTTTTATATATCATGTTTCTTCAGTTAAAGACTTTTGAGCTTATTGGTTAACAGCATAACTCTGGGGTCAAAGTTAACTGAGTTCAAATCCCAGCTCCTTAATATCTATCTGCACCTTGGTTTCCTTATCTATAAGAGGGAGAAAATAAAGAACCTGATTCAAAGTAATATCCCGAGGATTAAATAAGTCACTTAATACAAGTTTAGTCAAGTGTCTCAACAACACCCAGTACACAATGGCTGTTATCATTAAGTTTCCTAACATTAAGGGCAGAAGTTTCAACTTTTTATCTCCAAAAATATCTAACAGAATAGAAAGAATTTGTTAATTGCTAAAAGAATGAATAACAACAATCTACCCTACTCATAGTGGAATAGAGCTAATAATTTAGTTAGGATAGTAACTGAGAAAGAAGATATCACACAAATATCAAGCCTGTATGATTAGGAGAATAGCAAAGAAGGTAGGAAGAAAGGGAATTTTTAAAAACAAAAGGGCTTAGAATGTTTTTGCTGTTGTTGTCATTTGTTTTGTTTGTTTGTTTTGCTCTAGGCTAGTGCCCTACCACTTGAGCCAGAGCTCTGCTTCTGGCTTTTTGGATGGTTAATTGGAGATAAGAGTCTCTTGGGGTACTTTTGAACCATGATCCTGTTTGCTGTTTATTCTTTGGAAATGGAGTTGTGTGAACCTTTTTGCCTAAGATTAGCTTCAAACCTCAATCCTCTAGATCTCAGTCTCCAAAGTAGCAAAGATCACAGGCTTGCACCACTACTGCATAATGATTTAGTTACTTTGGGAACAAAATGGCAGCAAGTGACAGCAGCTTCACCAGCACTGGGATTCTGGAAAGATGCCACGGTTTTAGAAATCTGCTGCATTAACAATAGGAGAATTTTTAAGATACTGATTCATAATTGAAATTTTTCACTTGTTAAGATTATCTTTTCTATGCTAAATTCATATTAGTCACATGGTGTTAGGTTCAAATAAAACATCTTGTCCAAATCAATTTAATTGATATATATTATTGAGTACTAACAATTACATTCAATTAAAAAAGCAAACATTCATTTTTAAATGATTAGAAAATGCAACCATCTTACTGAGCTACTTCTATAACTAGATAGTAAAATTTAAAAATTACAATAGCAAAAAATAACTTTAAACTTACCCTGAATCACAGAAACAGCTCCACAATCCTTGGCCATGACTCCAGAGTAAGCGATTAAAAACCCGGTTGAAAATCCGATATAAACTAACTTCCTCAACATCAGGTACCTTCCAGATGCGAGGAAGAACTGTTCGGACACTTGATTTTACTATGTCCAAAACCTAGTGAAAAACAAACAAATAAGTGCTTAAAGTCTAGTTAAAGTATATTTAACATTCAAAGATGAATATAGTCAGTTCGTACACATGGCTCATGCTGAGATCTGAGGATCAGGGTTTGAAGCCAAGCCTAGACAAGAAAGTTCATAAGATTCTTCAATGGACCACAAAGAAAAAAAAAGCAGAAGTGGAGCTGTGTCTCAAGTGGTTAGTACTAGGCCTTGAGCCAAAAAACTCAGGCCCTGAGTTCAAACCTCGGGACTATAACATGTACACACCGAAAATGAATAATGTAATACACTAAGAAGTGCAAAAGTGAATCTATGCACTTCATGATGCTCTAGATAGGTGAGACCATTGGGGTAAATAAAGATTTCAAATAATAGTCTTTATCATGAAGTTGGATCCTTTCTTCAGTCAATTAATAAAACTCAACCTGAAAAGATTCCTCTTAAGTATTAAAAACTGAGCTACTAAATATGTTAATGAAAGTATGGAACTTTTAGGGCCTGGGTTAGCAAAAGATTACTTGAAGCTAGGCGCTGGTAGCTCACGCCTGTAATCCTAGCTACTCAAAAGGCTGAGATCTGAGGATCTCTGTTCAAAACCAGCCCGGGCAGAAAACACCGTGTGACTCTTATCACCAATAAAACACTCAGAAAACCGGAAGTGGTGCTGTGGCTCAAGTGGTAGAGCACTAGCCTTGAGCTGATGAGCGAAGAAGAAGAAGGAGGGGGAGGAGGAGGAGGAAAATGAGGAGGAGGAGGAGGATAAATAGCAGGAGCAGGAGGAGGAGGAGGGAAGAAAAAGAAGAAGAATAGAAAATGAAAAGATTACTTAAGTCACATAAAGTTGTCAACCATGAAAGATTAATATGTTGGATTGTATCTTGAACTTCTTGGTATCTTAAAAAAATGACAACTTATAAACAGGGAAAATATACTTAAAACATATATACTTGACAAAAGATTAGTATCAAGAATATATAAAGGATTCCTAATAAATTATTAATATAAATCTCAGGAACATTTTGATTAAAAACTTATATATAAGGGGGGGACCAAGATGGCGACGGGGCAGTAGGGAAACGCCACAGCTCTCTCCAACCAAAAAGAGAGTTCGAGTTCCAACGCTTAATCTCCCCAAGAGACCGACAACAACAAAAAGACGAACACTCAGAGAAAAACCAGAGGTGAGAAATAACAAAAAAAGAAAGAGAAGAAAAGAATTTCAGAACAGAGAAG